TAACAAATTTTGAATCCCACCACTGTTTGGCACATCTGTATACTCCCTAAAGGTAACACCATCCCCACTCCAGACCCCCCAGTTCCCAATGTCCTCCATTTCATTCATCCCAGGGAGGCCAAGAATGGCTGGCTCAGGAATTCTGGGAGTTGAAGTCAAAAGGTCATAAAGTTGCCAAGGTGGCCCACCCCTGGGCTAAGAGCTCCCTCTTCATTCAACCCCCTGCCCCACCAATCTCTCCTCTGGCTATCACCCAGAAAAGAAGAAGCAGAACAGTGGGAAACCCACAGTTCAAAACCATCAGCAAGTTAGCCAAAAGATGGAATCCTAAAAGATCCAAAGTCCAAAGGTCCAAGAACAAAGAGATGTCTACCCAGGGGAAAATGTTTTCTCCACCTCCTCTTCCTTTTTCACTGAGTGAAAATAATCTTTTTGAGATTTAGAATAATCATTTAACCACATTAAATGGCTTCCCCTAAAAAATAGTATTTATTTTGATTGATACAAATAAAAAGTAGTTTGGACCCTAAAGGAACAGCAATAAGGGATTTAGAATCCATCACTGTCTGGTTCGTGAGGTACCGTGGAATTCCACATCAACATGTGATAAATACAACTGCAGTCTTTCAGAAGAAATGATTGAGGTATCATTATCATTATCATTATTACTGAACTGATATGATGTCATTTGTAAACAGTTTGAAAAAAGAGGGTGCAACAGAGCTGAACAAATAATTTAGTAAATCACTTATTAATTAGAAGGTTTATCCCTCTGCTCTAAAGACTCAGGGCAGACAACAAAATAAGGATGGCTGGCAGAAAGGAGAAAATAGCAAAAGGAGGGTGGTGGTTAAAACTAGATGTAATAATAGCATGTTTTATTATCCTGAGCTTACTATACATCCAGACAGGATAAAAATAACTTGTTAAGAGTTAGCAGTTAATAACAACCCTCAGCACTGCAAATCTTGTTTTTTTGCTCACAAAACAGTATCAAAATTGATTTTCATAGGATTCTAGAAGGACAAAAACAATTACACGGTATGATTTGTTTATGGAAATCGTTACTAGAATCCATGGTGATAAGGATTACACAAAATCAGGGCAGTAAAACTGTTAGGGTTTGAGGATTAACCCCTAGAAGAGTATTGCAGCAGTAGT